ACTCTAAACCCTGCCCAAAGAAACTATTGTGCAACACACAGGGAGCTACTTGCACTTGTAGAGTCAATAAAAGCATTCCATCATTACCTGGCAGGTGCACCGTTTGTAGTTAAAACAGACCATGCAGCATTGCAGTGGTTAAAGAATTTCAAAAATCCTACAGGTAAGCTTGCACGTTAGCTCGAAAGATTAGCACCATACAAATTCCAAGTGGTCCATGTGAAAGGAACAAGCATAGGGCATGCTGATGCTTTATCCAGGTGGCCATGTGATGACTGTAAGAAATGTGACAGACTAGAAGAGAGAGACAAAACAGTATTAGTTTGCCAGTGTAAGACAGAAATAAAATGTGACGATAACTGCCCAACATGTCTGTTAGGTGAGAGAAAACAAATCAGACTTACCACAGACACAGTAAAAATCCACTGGACAAAAGTAATTCCAAATGGACTCAGTGATAAGGAAATCAGAAAGGCCCAACTTTTAAATCCAGATATAATGCCTATCATGGTTGCAGTGCAGGATGGAGAGAGACCCGAGTTCCAGGAAATTGCAGGAAACAGTAGCAAAACCAGGTCTCTATGGTATCAGTTTAACTCTCTGGTCATAGAGAGTGGTCTCTTATTCAGAAGGTTTGACACCCTAGTGGATTAAAAGAAAAAGAAGAATTACAACTGATACTACCGTCCAAACTAGTAAAACAAACAGTTAAATCTTACCATGATCAGCTGGGAGTAGGCAACCATTTTGGGGTGTCCAAAACACTAGCATTCCTTAAAAGATTCTTCTGGTGGCCAGGGATGTTTGAAGACACATATGAGGTAGTTTCTCAGTGTAGAATTTGCGCAAAGTTCAAAGGCCCAGCTCACATGACAAAGGTTCCGTTAAAATTGTTCCAAGAGGGAGTCCTACATGGCCGATGGCATGTAGATATCTGTGGACCAATAAATCCTAAAAGCAAAGAGGGACATGAGTACATTTTAGTTGCAGTTGAAGCTTTCTCTGGATGGCCAGTAGTAGTGCCACTGGTTAAACAGACAGCAGACGAAATAGCACAAGCTTTAATTACCCATGTCTTCTCTATTTTTGGAGCACCACAATCCTTAATGACGGACCAAGGCAGAGCTTTTGATTCCATATTGTTCCAAGAAATAATGGAACTTTACAACATCAAAAAGCTTAGAACTTCTGCGTTCCATGCAGCTGCAAATGGCAAAGCAGAACGGTGGATTAAAACACTGAAACAACACCTCATGATTCTGGTAGAAAAAGTCAGGCAAGACTGGCCTAAGTATTTACCATTCATTACTCAGGCATACAGAAACTTGCCGCACTCATCACACAAATTCTCACCTTATGAGGTTAAGTTTGGAGCTGCTATGAGGACACCACTGGACATGGATCGGGGTCCTCCACCAAAAGAGGAGCCCATGAATAAACTCTACCCAAATTGGGTTAGAAAAACAATGCAGGATATCCATGAAGTAGTTGCACACATGAGCAGAAAGGCTGCAACCAGAATGAAAGCTTATTATGACAGAAATGCAACGCTTTCACCATTCAACGCAGGGGACAAAGTCTACTTGTATTACCCCAGAAAAATTAAAGGCATCTCAGCTAAGCTAATTTCCAGATGGGAGGGGCCGTACGTGGTCACAAATATAATAAATGACTGCAATGCGAGGATAGAAAGGGCGGACAACCCCGATAAAAAGCTGATAGTTCACATAGACCGACTAGCAAGATGTCCAGACAAAGCCGACGACAACAACAATAACATCGCTAGCGCTTGGTTGTTGTTTACGGAATGAGCGCAACCATCCTAGCACTCGAAAAACTCGAACTCGATCGTCAAGCGGCGCGAGAAATTCAAATCAGGACCGATTGCTAGGGTAGCGAGTACCGGTTGCTAAGCAATCGGGTAGGTCGCTAGGCAACGGGTAGGCTTAAAGAAAACAAAAGAAAGCTACTGACGCCGACTTAAGCCTAACGGTTATTCCCCTCAGATCCACCAGAGGTGACGGACGCGAGCCCATCCGAGTTATCTGAAGCCATCCCAGTACAATTTCCAGTTTTACTAGTGAAAAATGGAAGAAATACCCGAGAAAAAGAAAACCTTCCGGGACTTAAAAGTGATAGTGCCCAAAAGGAGTGACGAGAGGAAAATCTTGGAAGCAAGAAGACCCTCCAAAGGAATACCCCAGACCAAGAAAGTGGACCCATCCCAACTAGATCAAGTGCTACAAAGAGTAAAGAGATCTTTGGAAGAAAAGAAAGAGGGATCCAAGGCCAAGAAAGCAAAAGTAATGGAACCGGAGGCAAACCCAAACCTCAAGAGGAAGGCCCAAGCCTCAGCTTTAAGGAAAGCTGCAGCCCGGATTACCCAGAAGGTAAGCGAAAGTGCCAAAGTGAGAGTCTGTAAAAGAAAAGGGGAAAAGAGAGATACCAAAATTTGGTGAATCTGTTACAGAATTTACCAAGAAAGATGCCCCAGGAGATTGTGGCCTTCCCTGTGGGACAACCAGGCCCATCCAGCCATAGGGCATTCCCTGATCCCTTGGAGGAGTGTGTATTCGCTAAGCACACCAGGAAGCAGATAGAAGAAAAAGGAAATCTGGCATTCCCTAGGAAAGAGCCAGATTCCTTTATGTGTTCCCCAATCACATGCAGAAAAATGGTGGACGATCCTGAAGCTGTGCTAGAGGAAGACTGGTGTGAACATTTCCCAATGACACCAGGGGAATACCTAAGTCTACCCAGCACTTCAAAGTTCAGGCAAGAGAAGGAAAAAGACCTAGACTTCCTACCACCACATAGAAGACAGTACTTCGCAGCCCTAGAATTACCACCTCCAGTGACAAGAGAGTTCCTGTCAAGTGACAGTGAAAGTGAGGATGAACGCATAGAAAAGAAAGCAGAAAGTGCTAGTGAAATAGCTAAAAGGCTAGCAGAAGAGATGAGACTAACAGACTCAGAATCAGAAGACGAAACACAGGAAGAAACTATAAATCAAGGAAGCGAGATGGAGATGAAAGTGGACAAGCTAGAGGCAGAAATAAAGAAAATAGATGTAGAACTAACAACGGAAGAAGTAGAAATGGAGTTAGAAGAAATGGAAAAAGGGATACAAGAGGAGGAAGAAGCAATCAAAGAACTGGAGAGAAAACTGGAGGAAAAGCAGGCAAATAAGGAAATAATTTGTGGAGGTCTACAACTGGACTTACCTTGGAAACTAACGCCAATTACTGTGGAAATCAAACCCACGGGCAGACAGGAATGGTTGGACAATCTCATACGTCAGCGAGAAATAGAGAAGGGAGAACTGAAGGTTCACCCTAATGATCCACGAAAGAAAGTAAGATGCAGAAAGTGCAACAAAAGATATCATAAGGCCAGTGAGTGCAACAAGAAATGAGCTTCAAAGTATTTTGTGCCAAAACTAATCACTATTTAAGTTGTTGTGATCATTGTTTCAAATATTAATCAAGTAGAAATTTAAGTACGTGTCATAAATCAGAATGTGTTCATTGTACCAAACGTTAATCAAATCATTACTTTACTTGTGATAAATTGTGTTGTTGTGCCAAACCAAAACGCTGTAAAATGTTAAGTGTTCATGCTCAAGTTTGCAATAAAAAACCAATGAAAATATAAGGGAGTTTCAATTCAAACACCCAAGTCATGCACAGAATTTATTACTCTAAAGGACGGAAAATCCAGCATGGACAGTAGATACAAGAAATTAAAATAAAAGCCCGCAATCCAGTATGGGGCACAAGTACATCAGTGACAGTCGATACAAGACATTAAAATAAAAACCCGCAAGCCAGCATGGGGCACAAGTACATCAATGACAGTCAACAGAAGAAATTAAAATAAAGCCCACAATCCATCAGGGGGGCACAGGCACATCAATGGCACATCCATGAATAAAATACGACAACAAGAAATTAAAGTCTAATTGAAAGACAAGAAATGAATGATGAGCGAGTAGCAGAATAAATAATCCATTAGGCAAATGGTAACAATAACAAAAGTAGCCTAATATCACATCCTGAAAGGAAAATCAGATATTAAAACTCGGATTGGAAAGGAACAGAAAATTAAGGAAATAAAGGAGGGCCACTAACCTCACTCCTCCACCAAGAAGGCGGGGGCGGGGGCAGGGGCAACCCCATTGAAGCGGAAGATCTCAGTCTGCAAAGAAAAACAAACAGACGTTGAAATAAACAATAACAGAAACAACAACAGCAAAGAGCGGGAGGCAAAAGACACGCACGAAAACCCAGCGCACACAACGCGCGCAAAGATAAGGGCTATGAGGATTGTAAAGCTCCTCAAAAGTACATTTTTGCCTCTTATACAAATAAGAGCCAGTCAAATGAAATTCCGGTTGAGAGAAGGGCGAACAAGGCCCACATACAAAAACAGCTTCATTCCCCTCAAAAGCGTGGTGATAATACATAAAAACGATCACAAACATGGTGGGGCAAGAGAAGATACAAAGGCAAAACGGGCGGCAAAACTCACTTAGGACGATAACGTCTTCTTCATCGTCGCTGACCAAATCGATCATGTCGAAATCTTGACCATGTTCAACGTCATGAAGGATGTCCTCAAAATCCTGGTTATCCAAAATTAGATCCACTAGAGCAGGGTCAAGAGCCGGGTACTCGACGCCCGGGGGGCGGGACTTGCGGCACAACATACTCATTTTTGTCTGGAGGATTTCCATGTGGAGGAATCACCATCTAAATAAAAAAAAAGGAAAAAAAAATAATCAAACAGTAAGCCAAAAGAAAATAAATAGACAGCGCAGAGGACCAACAACGGAAAGAGACTCACGTAGCATTTCCCCAGACAACAGCCACATTTATAGAACTCCTCGTCCACGAGAATGAACGCAGGGACATAAACGTCCAAGACAATATAGGAGGGATTAAAAACGATCCAGAGAGGGTGCCCAGTTGTAGCTTGGATACACTTTCCACAGATCTAAAAAGACACGGAGCATTAGCACTCTAAGGCACCTTAACGGCCCAATGGAAATCTAAGCGAACGGGAGAATTTAAAGACTAATACTTACTTTCTGAACTTCTCGGTCGTTCAGATTATAACCAGTGTAGTGATTGATCAAGACACGGGGCGCCATTGTCGGAAAAAGCAAGACGAGAATTGCACAAAACTGTAGAGCGGATCAGTAGCTCAGACCGGTACGAAGCCAAGATGGCGATGACCGTTAGAGGGAGTTCGCGCCAACGGCCGGCGTCCCCACGGAAAGAGGCGAAAAGGAAGGAGTGGGGGTAACCCACTGCGCATGAGCGGCGCGCGCAGCGCGTATGAGAATAAAAGAGGAACGCCGCCAGAGCACTCTGAGCAGGCAGAGAGAGAGGATGGCTAGCAGAACAGCACTAGCCGAGAAATAAAGTTCTAAACCAAGGAATTGGATAAAGAACCAGAATAATTAAACACATCAAGACTCAAGACAACGCTGGAATCAAAGGAAATCACCGATCAACGCAGGCAGAGGAAGATCAACGCTGGATTAGATGCACGGAGCATCTTTATTTTAAAAGTTAAGTATTCTTAACCTTCAAGAGGTTAATAAGAAACGTGGTAGTGTTCAAAAATCAAAGGTGTCACGTAGATAGGTCTAGTCAGTCGTGTAGGAGACACCTAGGGCCAGTTAATTACAGCCCAAGGCAAAGGTTTAAGTAGTCAACAAATACTGTTCCAGGATTATTTGTGTGTTTCAGGTACACTGGTACACCTTTCTCCCACAGCAAGTTCACATCAAGATTAATTGAATTTTAAAGGCATGGAACTCCGTGGTTGATCTCCTGAATGGATTTTTAAACTACTATTGATAGCAAGTTGATAGTGGTCCGGCAAGGAATCATACTAATGCATTGCTACATGCTAGGAGGGAAGTCGATTTCTTTTTGTTTGCACACCGAGCCAGACTAGTAGGTTTGAATAAGCCGTAGGTTTGGCAAAGTGGAAGTTCACAGGTTTAATTAAGTTGAAATTATTTAGAATTTGTTCATTTATTTATCAACAATGTTTAAAAGTAGAGTCAGTTCAATCAATTTGTACGTTAACGTCCAAGTGTATTGTATTAAGTTCAAGGCGAAGCTCTTGTGATTGTTAAAATTTTCTGAGCATTTTTAGGGAAGGGTTCTAAAAAGAAGGGAGTAGTGTAGTATTATGGTAACATTAACCTAACCAGGTTACAGCAGAATACCCTCAGTCACGGCCACTAGTGATCACTATGGAGGCGACACCTACACTCAGACCCCTGAACCTTTAATTGTTTTACGATCGCCTTGTTCTTCTTGTTGTTATGCCAAACACGGAATAAATAGAGGCGCGAGCCTTTGACTCGTCGCCATTTACCACTCATGAGTTCTGCTGTTCACATGATCTTGGCTCTCCCGTAACCCCAATACTACAGATCATTCTTTTGTAGTTTAGCAGTTAACATTCCTAACTCTGATCCTTCTAACTTCCGCTTCACACCATACTTTGCCATTAATTTTGACAAATTACTAAAATACTTCTCATCACGACCTAAAAATAATTACATTTTTGTTAAAATATATTTGCAAACAGCATACACACTACTACCACAGTGACACACATCAATGTTAGAACGTGCGCTTAAAAATAACTTCAGAAATTTACCTTCATCAGGCTTATGGATACGCCCATAAAATTCAGTGATCGCCTGCTTCTCCATTTTCCCATAGTAGCACAGTTTATATTTCGAGTCACTGGCTGCAGCTTGAAGTATATCACCAATCATTTCATCAGTAACTGAACCTTGAAGTTTCTTCGGAAGATAAGTACATACTTCTAAGTCATCGTCCAGAATGGTTGCTTTGATGCCAGGGGTAGCTTTACCGTTAAAAACTGATTGGGTCCTCTCAATACCAACAATTGGATACATTTCACTCCTAGTCAGACTTGAAAATCCAACAGTAAAGTCATCAGACATCTACAAATAAAAAAACAGTTTTTAGAATTGCAAATATGATGATAATTAAATTTAAAACTAATCAGTGAAAAAATGAAAGAATTACCTTAAGAGATAAGTTTTCAAATACACAAAAGGAAGATTTATCACAGGACTTCCCTTCACCGCAATCACAAAATCAACAAGGCACAAATACTAACTGTTTGCTAGGCAACACATAAAACAAATAAGCATCATCACAGCTAATTCAAAAAATGATAAAATCTAATTGGCACTGACTTCCAACTAAACACAACTAATTATTACATAAAAATAAAAACAATAGCTTGCATCAAAAATACAATAACTTCATACAACTGACTAAAATCAATCAAGCATCAGTCAAGGATCACACAACATATCTACCTCATTTATAAAATCTATATGGCAGTGTTATTACAATGTGCAAAACACCTAAATATTAAAAAAAAATAACATTTAAACTAAAATCAAAACACCATTGCTAAAATACTCAGATATATACACACACACAACACAAATTTAAAAAAAGCTACAATCACATATCATAATACATTATTCACAGCAAAAAAAAAAAAATTAGGTTTGTACTACTGATCAAAATCACCGCCAATATACAAACTCAGTTTATTCACAACAAAACAAAAAGACGTTCCCCTACTTCTATTTCGCAAAAGTTAAAAGTATCTTCTTCTCGAAAGTAGAAATAATGGAAGAAATTAACTATTGTGAACTATACCCACCACCAGAAGGAGGGGAACGTCCAGAAGGACCCCTCACCGGAAGGACCCCCC